CAAAACCTCACGGAAGAACCTTACAAACTTAACTTCTGCTCGGTACACAAACCTGGGCATCTCCTGGAGATACACAAGTCACTTTTTTTGGAGTGTATTTATTCCAGCAAAATCTCTTATTAAAAAATGTAATCCAAAATGATAAATCATTCAGAACAATAAAATCACTTGCAAGAACAAACACAGCTTCTATTGGTAACTGTTCATGCCTGCCCTGGGCATGCTTGTTACGTATGCTAAGTGACAGTGCTTATGGCTACCATTCCCAATATCGTATCTTCCTTTCCCAATTTACACTTATTCAAAGCAATGCTTATTCAACGATAGTTGCATAAGATGCATTTCAAGCGTTCATTATCAACCTCTCAAAAACAATAAACCACATCAAATTAGCCACTGACGTGCTTTGTACTAGCAAAGCAATTTGCAGATCCTTCACAAAATATTAGCACAATTACTTGACAGCATCACGGCCACTCTTTCTGACATTGCTGCACACAAGGGCTTGGTCACATGAACTCACAGTTGCTCTCATGTAAGGGAGAGATCTTTGGGCAAAAAAACAAGCTCATTTGCATTAATTTCCCCTCATTTCTGGGAAGTGGAGCACACATTCATCTGATTGAACATCAGGAGACATCACAGAGGCAATATTAGCAATAGCTGGGAGCACAGGTTTCCACTGGCGATGTCCATCACTCCCTACTGACTGTGCCATTGGTTCAACTGATCCGTTCCACTTGCTAAGCTGCCAGCATTTCCACTCACTGATTGCCTTCAGGATAGGCCCCTTCCATCAGTCACTGAGAGCAGAGAATGTTGCTTTCCTTACTATTTTTGATTTTCCTCTTTAACAACCTTCTCTGTAGGACATGCTGCTTCTCAGTGGAGTCCTCTCCACATCTAACCAGTGCTATGCCAAGTTACTAAAAAGAAAATTCAGTCCATAATTTAGCTTGAAAGATAATGGCAACAAATCAGTATTACAAATAATTTACTTTCCCATTAACATCGATTTCATAATTACAATATATGTTTCTTCCTATTGCCTTTTCCACATCTTTGAAATAGCCATTTTCACTTCACCACACTTACTGAGAATTGCAGCAAGCAGGAGATGTTCAGCACTCCCAACGATAATGGCAGCCAACATCAGATACGACAAGCTCACGCAGTGTGCTGCTGCAGTCTGCATGCCTCATTCTCCTACTAGCAGGTAGGTTCTACCACCCTGCCAACTCTGAAAGGGTTTTTTTCTGGCTGACCGTTGCCTTTGGTGAACAATATTCCATATTCTGTTTTGTATGGCCACCACGGAGAGATGATCGAAGTGTAACAGCATGCTCTGAGGAACAGCTGCTGAATGTCAAAGCAGTACCTGCTCACTCTGCAAAGCCTGTCATCAGTGTCAGCAACACAGCAGCCACTGCTCTGTCCTCTCAGCAGCATTAGATGATCAAAACTCAAACCAGAAGGGCTGAGACATCAGCAGGGGTGGCACGTGCAGCAGAAGGATCAGCAGACAATGTACACAAGCATTAGAAAAGATATTCTAAGGCCACAAAAGTTTATCTACCAAAATGCTACCAAGACAAATAAATTTAGTCTATTACAGCTGTTTCTGTTGTGTTGAAATAGACTTGAGAAAAATTCCCCACATTGCACTGGATTCCAGTTTAAGCATGAACTCACTGTAATGTCTTTTTACCAAACCAAAGCATCCAGGGGACTAGCTAGAATGGAAATATAAATCAGTACTCAGCTCAGGTCTGACCTTGCAGTCAGCAAAAAATAACCACAGTAAAACGAGAACTGTAGAAAAAGAAGTGTTAAGGGGTGTAATAAGCATGTCCCTATGCTTTGTGAAACCTAGTGCATTTGCATTGGTTTAGGAGTTTGTATTCTGCTCCTTTCATGCTTGCATTTAAGGAAAAGGAATAACAGAGTGTTTGCTTTCAGCGTGCTAAGATAACAAGAAAGTGAAAAAGATACAAAGCCTGAAAGAAAGCAGGGTTGTGTGGGCTCTGTTATCAGCCCGAACAACAGGCATTTGAAAAGATGCTGTTTGGTCATTTCAATATTAAGCTACGAGACAAACTGCTTATACTGTTCATTTTCCCCATGAATACTGTAATCTGCTCTTCCTTATCCCAAAACTCCCTACAAACCCTATATTGTACATGACAGTCTAAAATATGAGCAAGAGAGTATTGCATAAGAGATGATGGCATTATTTGTGTTCTTAAATTAAATATTAAAGAATTATTATTTAGCTGTTTGCATTTAAGCAAAATTGATTCAACATTTACAATATGTGAAGCTATGAATTAATGCAGTGTTTCTCTGACAAGAACCATCACATATTCCTGCGGATGCCACGTACCAGTGAACATGGAAGTTTCCTACTTAAATGAGTTTTAGTCAGTTTCTATTAATAAGGTTTTCCAAAACTGAGAACAAAAAAGGTTCATGTGACATTACAAACACTTCTGACAGCCTTTCATTCAGTGCCCTTCTGAAGCTGCCAGAAGCTCTCCCTAGCAAACTTCTGTTAGGAATGCCATCTCGTGGTTAAAAGCTGTATATAATGACTCCAGGTAAACATCACTCCATTTTCATTGCAAAAACACCATTTATGCAGAAATGAGCTATTCCTACATGACCTTTCAAACTGTACAGTTTATTAACAATTTATTCATCTATAATTAACCATTCTGAATGAAAATGTCTGTGAATATGGATTTTCCTTCCCCATCTGTATACAATGCTAATAAACTATGCCGAGAACAGTCACGTCATTAGGAGATGATACGCATTAGCATTTTAAATAGAACTGGGTTGCTACATGCGCTTAGCAAAAAGTCCACTACATGCTTGTCTATTTAGATGTAATTTAGGGAATTAGTTTGAAATGTAAGAAAATTCAAGCATTTTTTTTCAAAATGCTTCTAAAGAAGTACCCTTTGAACACTCTACCTTCTCTAAGCTTCATGGGATCTCTTCAGTTGGATACAGAACTACAAAAACGAAACACTGGATGTTCCAATTTGTTTTATACAGATCTTACTGTGAGCTGGACGTGAATTGAAAATGGCTGTTGGATCCCAAATTGCTCACAAAAGCATGGAGAAATGACAAGTAAACAAGAATAGAAAGAAGGGGTCCAAAAGCGTCTAATAATCCTTCAGAGATCTGTGACTTAGAAAAGCTTATAAAGATGAATAATCAATAGCCACATTCAATACAGCTGACATTTTCGTAGACAATTCCCTGCCAGCTATGCTCGTGTAATTTTCATAATAAAAGTATGTATTGCACAAATCATCACAACATGCATCGTATAATGAAATTTAAAACTAATGAGCCATATCCTAATAGCCATAAGTCAAGTCAGGATGTGCATTAGTAGACCATTTGCAATTCTCCAGTGACAGATAGCGCAAGGCTAAACATATCCAGAAGCCCATTTATAGCACAGTTTGTTCTGCATACCGATAACACTAACAGAGATATGAAATGAGTTTGCAACCTCTAACGTTCAGCCAGGCCTCCATGAAACATCGGTCATACAGCTGCTGCCATGCAGGCCACTCCTGGGACAGCTCAGATGGACTGCTCTGATCACTTACATCAACCTCTTGCTTAACATGGATCTGGCTTGCTTTAGACCTCTATCAAATTACATTTTTTCAGAAATTCATGCAGTACTTTCAGCCTAGAGAAACCTTTTCCATCCTGTGAACCTCTTTTACCTCTTGCGACTTGTCCAAGTCTATTCACAGTTACTGAAGCACTCCTCTGTTTGACTGAAGAGACGTTTACTTCATTAACAAACTTTTGCTTAAAAGCTTATTCTTCCATGCTCTCATTAAGTAAGCAGATCCTGCTTACCAAGACAATCGTGACAGTGCTTCTTAAAAATTCTTTCATTGCTGTTATGACTCTTTTGTCCAGTTCTGCAGCCTTAGTGAAAGCTGTGGTTACTGCAGTTGGGCGTAGCATTCTTGTAAAAGGTTCTATGAGAGTGAAGTGCAGTCAGCAATATAAGCTCCCTGACAGCATTCTCCTTTTGAAACCTGAGGATCTCACCAAGCATTCTGGGCACAAGACATGCTGACAAATGCATGTTCAGTTGGGAAAGCTCAAGCTTGCTGTCTCCAGACATTTTCCCAGTGAGTATTTCCTGCAGTGTGATGGTCTATTTGGAAAGAATGGCCTCAAAGCTTTGTTTTTAGAGACATACATCTACTCCAGGCCACGGTGAAATGCAGGTTGAGAGGAGAGTTATGGAGATCATCAGAGGGCTGGAGCACCTCCCCTGCACAGACAGGCTGAGGGAGATGGGTTTTTTCAGCCTGGAGAAGAGAAGGCTGTGAGGAGTCACATTACAACCTTTCAGTATTTAAAGGGCATTAAAAACAGGAGGAGAATTAACTTTTTACTCAAGTATACAGCGATAGGACAAAGGGGAATGGTTTTAAGCTCAAGGAAGGAATGTTTAGATTGGATGTTTTTTGCAGAGGGAGTGGTGAGGTGCTGGAACAGGCTGCCCTGAGAGGTTGTGGATGCTCCATTCCTGGAGGTGTTCAAGACCGGGTTGGATGGGGCCCTGGGCAGCCTGCTGTAGTGCCAGATCTGGAGGCTGGTGGCCCTGCCTGAGGCAGGGGGGTTGGAACTTGATGAGCCTTCAGGTCCTTTGCAACCCAAGCCATTCTATGATTCTGTGATTTGTCACTACTTTCTGCCAAATAATTCATCTTATCCTGCTTAAGTGGCTCCTCAGGATTTAAAATTTGTGGCATTCACAGACTTGAACAGTAACTGTTGCATTTTCCTCTGTATAGCTCAATTACTGTATATCTAGTTTTTGTGTAAACACATGAAAGAGCACATCTCATGAGATTAAAGCACATCAAATTCTGAAACCACCTCTTTCAGAGGACTTCCTTTATATCACAAATTGGTAAGGACTTAAGAATATATTTGCAAGGAAAATGCTATAGTGTGGATCCTGCAGTATTTATTTAGAAAAAATGCAGTGTACACAAACAACTATAGGCATACTTCAGGCATACCAAATGTGATCTGAGTAACAATGCGCATTCTTGAAGTCTTCTAAGAGCAAACCTCATCTCCTGAAAAACAACAATCTTTCATTCAGAGTTTCAACCCTTAAATATCGTTACCTTCAAAAGATAAATAGCAGTTCTTTTTAAATTTTAAAACATTAAGAAAACAGAACTCTCTTCTGAAGTCAACTGAAACTGCTCTATTGACCCTTTACCTAAAAATCACTGTCACCCTGAGAAGCAGAGCTTTGACTTAAGGCAAGTAACCAGCAGCTGCTAAAACTGCAAGAAAAACAAAGTATTTTCCATATAAATATTTTTATAACAAGAAGTATAAACAGTGGCATTACAAAGAGCTCCTTGTTACATCTGTCTTTAAGATTTTACATGTAGTAGTAGTGTTCAGCAAAGCAAACCAACAGAAACTAAGTTTAAATAAAGCTATGCTATTACAAAGTTGTGAGTATGCATACATACACATCTCTACCATTCTCCATAAACCCAGCTTACATTTGTTTAGACTGCAACATCTTGTCTTCAAGCAAATAGGAGCAAATGTGTACATTAATCCCAAATAGCTTTAAGAATCCTACTGACCATCAGAATGTACATGTGCTTCTGTGCATCATTAGCGCATCATTCTTTCTTAAAGAAGTTAATAGCACACATTACATACACAGGACATTGTCATGCAGCGTCTGAAAAAGACAAAAACCAGCTCTCGTGCTCACTCAATGGTGAGCTCACTCACTCACTCACTCAATGCCCTTTGAATCTTTCATTAAACTGGCAGCAAGGAAGAAAAAGTGCAATCACAGTGGCACAATGTTTGTTGAATGTATTTTGCTGAATGACATTCAGAGAAGCTGGGCTGGGAAAAGGTAAGAATTGCTTCCCTCATTGCCTTCTGTCCTCTTGGCCACTCTCCACAGTGAGAACAGAGGAAGTTATTTGCTCCTCTCCCATTCCTTCAGGCCCAGGGAGTCAAAGTGAGACAGAGGAATGTGTGCTGCAGCTTCCACAACAGTGTCAGCACCTGGGTACAAACACCACAGCTTTGGGATCACGACACTGCTGCAGTGTCTCATGGTACCCATTACTAGAACAGAAGTAGTGCGGCACACGGTTCGTTTCATGTATGATGAAGTTCAGTTATTACGTTTCCTAAACAATGCAATCAAGCAAGTATTGTACTGTTAAGACATTTTCAGAAATGCAACTAATATTTTACATGCTCTTTAATCACTACCTTTGTGTATTTCAGCTTCTCAAAATCCCTTAAGTACAGCTGAGTTCTTACAGAGTTCATGTAACCGTATCAACCCTTTATATTTTCATACCATGTCAAACATTGTAAATAGGAATTTCACTAATACTTTCCCCTTCAAACCAAGTTTGAGCTACAGACATGAACTTTGAAATATTGATTGCTTGAGTCATGCCAAAATAGATCTTGTTAGATATGTTGCTTAGTTGTTACTATCTAAAAATCAGTTAATTCCAGGTAGGTCAGAGTCTTTTAGCCTAATCTTTTTTAGAACCTCAGCTTTTCTCTTTCAAGTACTTCCTATGAAAACAAGCTTGTCTTTGGAAGTACTTCAAGAACTGCATTGCAACTGCGTGTGACAAAGTGCCTTATGGTAACATACAACACTAAGCTTCATGGAACCAAGTAGTACAGAATTTCCCCAAGTCCTTACACTGAAACCCATTCCCATCTCAGTAACGGAAACCTGACTTTTTTTTTTTAAACTTTAGAAATTTAGAACTCATGTATTGTAGTGTTACACTTGGGACTAATCTAAGAACCAAAGTGATAAATTCAGAAATGCAAAGTAGATGGACTCTAATCACCTACACATTGCTTCTTTTTTGGCAGCATACTTACACAACATTTTAAAATCATATATTGTATGATCATTCTCATGTTAGAAAAAGATTTTCTGAAGTTACTGCAGAAATAAGAAATAAGGTCTGAACAAAAAAAGTAATGTGACAGATCTTGGAAGGGCATCCAAAAATGGCAGCACCCAAAAAGCTATTTGGTCACTCACACCTTTATCAGCTACATATAACTTTATTATACAACATATTCACCGTGGCAAATGCACATCATGTTGGGTCTTTCAGTTTACAATGGAATATTACATAAATGGAGAATTTTTTCAAGTGGTTTGCTGAATAGTGTTTTCTGCACCTCTGATGTGGCAGAAAGTACAAGCAGACACACAACAGAAGGGAAGGCATGATTCTATGTGCACTGTTTTGTCTCTATATTTTGGCAAGAGATCAAGTCCTGACATAAATGAGATGCTGCTTCTCAAAGAGGCAAAATGTCACCAATTACCACCTCTCTTGCCAATACCTTTCTCCTTCTGAATCTTGGTATACATACTCCCATCTGACTTCTCCCAGCTCTTTACCTGTAACTGGCTGCCATTCACAACTTGCCAATACCTTATCTTAGTATTTCTCATAGCATGAAATGTAGATATATTTCCTGCTCTTGATAAATATAGTCCACAATTAGCAGAGTAAGATTGCCCACAACCATACGATCTCCTCAGGCAATATGCTCTAGTTTTTTTTAAATTAAAAAAATAAAACAACTAAAAAAAACAACCAGCACAGAGCCTGTCATTAGCACAGACAGACTGTTAGCAGAGACCTACTTCAGGCTGCACAATGAATACCTCTGATGCTATTGCATTTGCCAGGCATTGAAGTTCATCCTTCACTCTACTTGATGAGCTACCAAGACCTCTGAGACACTTCATCGCTGTAATCCATGCAAAGACAGAATGTTGAGAACATTAATCTAAAAAATGCACACGTCAACAGAAGGAATTAGAAAAAGAAAGCTATATGAACTCTATGAAAAAAATAGAATACAATAAATAAATGTAAATAAATACTTAAGTTTAGATCTTATCTAGGAAGACTGATGCTAACACTAGTCAATAGCATTAAAGAAGTATTCTAATGTCAAAAAGTTAAACTAGAAAAGATCTAGAAAAGACTACTGGCACACTAGAGAATGAGCTGTATCTCAAAAGTTATAAATATTAAAGAAAGGACTCCATCAATATGCAGAAAAACATCTGGAAGGAATAAGAAAGATGTCTGAAAAACAAAATAACCAGATGCTTTGCACAAATGTTGGCCTCACAAAACATAAAAAGAACATCATACAAGAAAGTAGCATACCATAAAATAACACAGTTCAAAGATTAACAGAATACGTATGCTTTAATCTTTATAGTGAAATCACATTTCACTGGTAATATCTGAGCATCACCGCTATCTTGCTGTGTTTTGGCGTCCTAAGTGAAGTGAGTTAAACTTTAATTGATCACCTCCTGGTCAGGTGATCACATCATTCTTGCCACAAAACTAGAGCTGTTAGCTTCAGGTCAGACCTCATTACCTCCCTCCTTCAGGGGAGAATGCTTCAGCTTGTGAAGGAGACAGTGCTACCAAGAAAAGCCTGCTCTGCTGCTGTCCCTAAGGCATGTGGCCTGCAAGAACACTCCAGGCTTCCAGTCTCTCCATTCAGAACTGTTCCATGCTACTAGAAATCTCACATGCATAAGAATAAGAATACTGCTGAAGATCGGACAATTGAGTATACAGCTGTGGATGTTACGCTGTGAACTGGACACAGGCCAGATAAATCATGACTTTATTAAAACATGCAGTTTGTCAGGGTACCACAAATGACACAGTATACAGCCGACCAGTTGCTCAGAAAACTTTCATAAAATGATTTTGAATTAAGGTTTCTATACAAGACATCAACATACTTAAATCAGCAGCACAGACCCGGTGACCCTCATTCTCATTCTTTTTCAGGGTCGCTAATAGGCCCCAGTGGACTGGAGGCAGAGGGCTGTAGGAACTCAGCAAGTGAAGCTGACTTAATGGGTTTTGTTTTATTTCTGTAATCCTCAAGGCCCTCAAGATAGCAGGTGCAAACTTAGAATAATGAGCTGTAGATGAAATAATAATTGGACAAGTTCTATCTTGTAATCGATCTGCAACTACTTTAGCAACAGCTGTGTGTGTATCCAGAATATATCCTGTAGTGCTGTAGACAGAGTGAATGGCAGCAAGGCAGTCTTCCTCAGAGCACCACCCAGCCACCAAGTCCCGCTGAAGCTTTTCAAGTAGGTCTTTCTGCAGGCAAAAGTGGCCCTGATTTTCCAGCCAGTTATATAACTGCGTCACCAGCTGTCCATCACCATCAGCAATCAGGTGCAAGTATCGCTCAAGATTGGAGGACTTCAAAATATCCACTGCTGGTGAAAAAGTTGGAACTAATTTTCTTCCCCTCAAATCATAAATACCTGTTCTTATAAAGTCTGTCAAAACATTGTTTTCATTGGAAGCACAAATGCATTTTCTAGTAGGGATTCCCATCATTTTGGCATACAAGGCAGCCAATATATTGCCAAAGTTCCCTGTAGGAATGCAAACATCTACGGGGTCTCCAAATGTAATAATACCTTGATGAACAAGATCGAGGTATGCAGAAGCATGGTAAACCACCTGAGGAAGCAATCGTGCCCAGTTTATGGAGTTTGCTGCTGCTAAAGCAGTGCCATACTCTACTGTAAGATAGCCAGTATAATCCGAGTTGGTAAAGATTTTCTTCATAGCAGTCTGGCAAAAATCAAAATCAGATTTGACACCTACTGACCAGGCGTTCTCTTTCTGACAACCAATCATCTGTGATTTTTGAATTGGGCTTATTCCATCTTCAGGAAAAAAACTCATCACAGCAATTCTCTGTTTGTCAGTGTCATGGAGACGACTAAAGCCGTCTAAGACAGCGCTCCCTGTGTCACCAGAAGTAGCTACCAGAACCAAGTAATTGCAGCTCCTGGGAATGCAGTATGCGAATATATGTGGCATCATCTGCAACGCAAGATCTTTAAATGAAGCCGTTGGTCCATGAAATAACTCAAGGAGAAACTGATTGCCTGTCAAATGTCTAACTGGGGCAATTTTAGAACAAGTAAAGTTTTCTCCGTATGCAGTTCCAATAATTTCTCTCAGTTTGAAAGCAGGAATGTCAGCAGGATGTATGCATCTCTCTAGTATCACCTGGGCTCTTTCAGCATAAGTTGCTCCTATTAGAGTTTGCCATTCTTCAGCAGTCAACACTGGAAGTCCTCTCTCAGGGACAAAAAGTCCTCCATCTGAGGCTAAGCCTTCAACAACAACATCACTGAAATACTTGTGAGAGTTTTTTTGCGTACTCCTAGTTGAAACATAAGTTTCCACTTCTGAGTTTTGGTATCTCTTCACAGCATCAAGCACCTTTTCTGCTACAACCTCTGCTGCCATATTGCCCCCACAAAGAACACGAACATCGTACCACCTTTTGTAGAACTGCTTCCTAAACTGAAGTATGTCCTTAAGAGAAGCAGCAGGACCCTGGCCCACAATGCGATCCACTTTCATTGACTTCAGCCGACTCATAATGACCACTGTGGGCACATCAAGATACACAACTATTCCATTTCTTTTCACATGCTGCATGCCAGCAGTGTGCATTGGATTGGACCCAGTAAGGGAAATGACACTTCCAGATGCTGAAAACCTCAAAAGGGCTTTTCCTTCCTCCTCTAAAAATTGCTCATTACCAACATCCTGCAGTTTTTCTGACACACTCATATTCCAGGTTCTTTCAAGGACATCATCATCTATATCTATGACAGGGCAATCTAGTTTCTGACCTACTATTCTCCCAACTGTTGTTTTCCCAGCACCCGGAGGTCCCATCAGGATAATATTCTTATTTCCAACAAGAGAATGGCTTGAGAACCATGACTTTGATATCCGTTCCAATGTTACCAGTCTTGAAAACATCAGTTTTAAACAAATTTTAGAAAGACTGTTTTGGGCTATCAGTCTCGAAGGTCGATACTGAACAGTGTGAAACATCTTCTGCTGCTTTTTTTTATTTTTTTTATTTTTTTTTCTTTCAAGCCACCTTGTCAGCCCACTGAACTGATTCAAAAAGAAAGAAATAGCAATTAGTTCTTCAATAAACATCTTGGAAAAAAAACCAAAACCTAAAGGATATAAAATTGAAAACAACAACAATTAAAACACAAATCTAGTTATGACTTTGTCAGTGATAGGAGGTACGTATTTTTCAAAATAAGAACATCCATTCCATTCCTACTACATAGCTCCAGCTCGGCTTCACTGACAAACCTAACTTCAAACAGTCCTTGCCCTCAGGTTAAATAAGGATACCCAGGCCTAGCACTACAATACTATTTGCATATAATATTGTTAACAGGAATTAAAATTCAAGTTTGTTTTTTTTTTTTTAATCAAATAGACTTACTTAAAAGTACAAATTCATAGACAATGAAAGTTAACTAAAGCACCTCCATGTAATTACAATACTGAAGTCTGTATGTTCCCCAATTTCAAGACATCTTTATTTTCTAAAAAACAAAACAAAACAAAAACCACCACAAATGAAATACCCACCTACATACAACAAAAACTCACAGACTTGTGCAATAGCAAGGATGGAAGAGTTGCATCCAGCTGTCTTCTGATGGAATGACAGAGCAAGCAATTCGTGAAGAGCTCCTACAATGGAATTGTATTGGATGTGGTTTGCGCAAAGCGAGAGAAAGACATCATGAAAACACTCCACTCCCAAAAGCACATTCAAGATTCAGCAGGAAAGCAGCATTCTCAACACAGATTAAAGAAGACACCCTCAATGTGTTTTTTTGTTTGCTTAGAGAAATCACTGCCAACACGACTGGAGTTGCAAACCACGATTTGTTTGTTATGTTCAAGGCCACAGGGTGAAGGACTCTCAGAATCTCAATAAAGGAGGGAGGCTGAGCAAGAAAAATCAGCACTAATTTGCACAAAAATCCAAATAAAGTCATTTTTCATTTTAAATAATAATAACAAAGTGATACTTGTTTGCCTATTTCTTCACTGCTCATGTCTGAAAATGTTTGAAGAAGAACAACAAAGAATTTCCCTTAGGAAATTAATATAACTATATGATCACTCATCAATTCTTTAAATATATATATATATATACATACACGTGTATATATAAATACATACATAAAATCACATTTTCTTGAAGACTTATTTTAGCTGTTACAGCATGCAGGACAGAGGTGGCTGACAACAATGCAAGCGGTATTTCTTTTTCCCACCCTCCTGGCAATGTAACACCTAACCAAAACTGCAATCAGCTATTTCTAATAACTATATCAATCTAGCTGCTAGCATTCCATCCAGCAGCTGGATGGGTGCAACACACTGCAGCAATATTTGTCAGCTTCATCAGCTACTCAGACCAGAAAAATATTTTTTAGTGACAAAGTGTTTCCCTGTGTTAGTCATAACAGACTCGATAGAACAAATACAGGAACTCACTTTAGAGTAAGTCACCAAACCTTTCACAGAGCTTTTTCTCTAGACAGTTTTGAAACCAACAGTGCTTTACCACTACAGAGGACAGAAGATGACACAGAGTTGTATAAGACTGGTGAGAACCAAATGTACTGTAACACCTTCCAGTGACCTACCAATGGTTAAACCATGTTTAGTTACCACAGGAGCCCTTTAAGACCCTGGCCTACCTCATCAGAATGCGTAGTATGGAATGATCCTAGAGACACAGGTCACTCCAACTTTAAAAGTAACATGGAGGCCCAAGTTTTCTCAGAGCAAACCACAGAGATCTTCACTTTCAGGTGCTCCTCACTCTAGATTCTGCTATGTGTTCTAGATCTCTTTCATGCTCTGCTTTCTTTACCAAACTATTTCTACTATTTGCGTTTCAAAAATCAAAGTGTTTCCAATTATTCAGATCTTTCCATTTTGCTTACTTCTGTACGGAGAGATAAGCTTAAAAGCAAGTGCCCTAAATATCATTATATTCGGTGTCTGCAGCCTGTACATGATAAGCATGCTGTAACTACAAGGTATAAACCAGAGTAAAGATGGGCACTTCATACTGCACAGTTTTTTCTAATCCTTCTAAAGTATAAGAGAATATGTAGGTGCAACAAAGTTTTCTGTAACAACTATTTAAAAGGAAGAAAAAAATCTTTCAAGAGCATCTGTAGTATTTAGTGTCATTATAAAGTTGTTCTGTAATGGCAACGCACTGAAGTGAATATACACATACAGTTAACAGGGTCAGAAAGTGATACTTAAGCTTCCAAATATGAATATGTTCAAGATATTAAAAATATATATATATATATTTTTGTGATTTTATTTTTTGAGCATAATAGTTTCAAACCTTATTTACGAACAAAGGGCATACAAATCATGTCTGCACCTCTAGTTGTACTGCAGAAGCGTTTTGCAGTGCACAGTACTTAGTACACAACACAGCTGCAGGACAGAACATCCAAACTGCTTTATGAATCTAGGACACAGGAACACAAAAGCCTCAAAAATTAGTGCTGTAGGCAAGGAAGGAACTAGACACAGACTTCTCTGATTATATACTTGCCATATTTGCATACGGTTACAAGCAGTCTGCGAGGCTGCCTGAAATCAACTCTGTAAATCTGATGCAAGAATGTGCATGGAATTTTATCCAGCTGCTTGGTTTAATCTATCACAGTTTCACCCAACCTTGCACCGATATAAAGTATTACAAGAATGAAGATATGAAGATTTTAAAAGAACAGTTCAATATTTGCAAGCTTTTCTTATGTAAAAAACTTTTTACTATGTACTAAGAAGAAGCTTGCAATTATTGAACTGCTCTTTTAAAATCATTTTTATTCTGGTGGCAGGGCTTTACTGTGAAAATGGTGTGAATTAGACTTCATGTCTAGCAGTTCATCAGTCCAGTAAGAGCACCAAACCAACCACCTTAAGCTATAGCTACTTGTGCCAGCAGGCTTTAGGGGTGAGAGGGTGTTGTACTGAAGCAGAGCTTATACCTGTACCTCCAGTGAAATCAAGTTCTGACAGTACACGTCAACCTTCCACTTGGAGGGCTGAAGGCCCCTACGTATACTTGCAGATGTACACAATTTAAACGATTAATGATGACAGGAGTTACAGTGAAAACTGCTCTTAGCTACCAGAGTAGACACAAAGTCTGCAAAGACACAACGTATGGTTAAAATCCAGAGATCAAACAAGTCATTGGTGGCTGTTGGAGAACTCAAGGTAGGTCAAGACAAATCGTTATCATGCTTCAGAGCTTCCAATACACACACACAAAAAAAACCTCCCCTTGCTTTTTCTCAGAATTTCAACCTTCCCATGATCACCCCACAGCCCAAAATGCAGAGATGGTATTTAAAAAAAGAAGGCAAATGTGTGAAATCAACCTCTGCACCCCGTTTCTGCAAAAGCCTTAAAGGAGGGTGAGAAGTCCTACCAGTTACCAAGTGTAAAAGCCAGGTCACAGCAGCAGATGAGCAACCACAGCAGTTGCAACTGTTGCAGGGGAAAGGATCACTTTCGAACTACACCAGCAGCTGCAGCGCTGACAAAACCGTACAGCGAAGGAGGCAGAAATGTTCTGGGGACAGATCTGAGCTGCCATAAGGATTCCCACTCTGCGGCAGCCAGACACCAGCTAAAGCTTTCCGGAACATCAGTGGGCATTCAAATATCTTTAGGAGCCTCGTTCATCTGCAGGAAGGGGTCGAGCTCATTTCCGAGCGTGAGATCTGTAAAACAGAACGAACACAAAAAAGGAAGCCCCGATCCGATCTCGGGACACAGCGGAGCTGCCGCCGCGTGCCACGCAACCGCAGCGCACCGCTGAGGGAGCCCCGAGCTGCCCTGACCGGCCCGGCCGCTGGGGAACGCGCCGTCCCGATACCTCGAAGGCGCGGAAGCGCGGACAGGAAGTTGGGTACGGACGGATCGCAAAACACGGCTGAGCTGGACACCACGGAGCCAGCCCGGCCGCAGCTCACCGCCCCCTCCCACTGCTCGGCCAACGCAGCCCTGGACTCCCCCAACCCTCGGGAGTAGCAGCAGCAAAACCTTTGTTTCGCCCTGTCCTGCCCGGCCCGCGGCTCGGCCCGTCGCGGCCCGGCCCGGCCCAGGCCCGCTCCCCACAGGCGCCCCTCAGCGCCCACGTACCGGCGAAGCGGGGCGGGGCCCTCAGGTACCGCACGCACCCCATAGGCGCGCCTCCACCGCCCGCACTGCGCACGCGCGGCTCTCACCGCCCGCCCGCAGCTTTGTTGGCTTCAGCTCCACCAAGCGCGCTTGCGCAGCCGCGCGACGCGTCGCGTCCGCCCGGCGGTCGCCTCCCGCCAAAGAAGGGGCGGAAAAGAGGTGGCGCGGCCCCGCCTCTCGTGGCGCTGTTGCCTAGCAGCGCGGCTCCTTGGTGACGGCGTGGACGGCAGCTTGAGGGCCGCGGTCGGCCCGGCGGCAGCCTGAGGCGAGGGGTGGGAGGCGGGAGCGGACGGAGGATGGCGGCCCAGGAGAGCGTGTATAACCTCCTGCCTCGGCTGGAGGAGAAGCCCGTCAAACCGCCCAGGTACGTGGGGATGTAAAGCACTGTGACCGGTTTTGGCAAGGCACTAAAGTCTGCAGATATGGTTGGGTACGGGTTGGGTATGGGTATGGGTATGGGTTGAGCGTGGGTATGGGCATGGATTGTCTGTGTGAGGCAGAGCTGAAGTTTAGCAGGGCGGTTATGGGAGTGGTGGCATTTGGAAAGATACAAAATGAAATAGCATGGTCTTTTGTTGTGACCTTTTCTGACCTTTAACTTCTTCATGCCTGTTTTTTAACATCAAAGGTATGTATCGACATTTAGGCCGTCTGTGAAGCTTGAAATAGAGCAAAGTAAAGCGCAGTGGAAAACTATGGGGCCAGCAAAAGTTGCAGTGCCATCTCCAACAAACTTTCTGAAGAAACACTCCAAGGAACCCACTTTGCCAGCAAGTGAGTGTGTGCATTGATCACATGAAAGGCATGGTGTTCTTTCTCAGCTGCAGCCATTTAAAGACTGAAGCTGTGTTGACAGCATGATCTGTCCTTCTGATACCTTAATTTGCAGTTACAAAATTTAGATTTCAAGAACTTCTTTACAGTGAGGTGACGGAGCACTGGAACAGGCTGCCCAGGGAGGTGGTGGAGTCTCCTTCTCTGGAGATGTTCAAGACCTGCCTGGACGCCTACCTGTGCGACTACTGTAGGGAACCTGCTTTGGCAGGGGGGTTGGACTCGATGATCTCTGGAGGTCCCTTCCAACCCCTACAATTCTGTGATTCTGTGATTCTGTGATGTCATTCTTTCCTGCAACTGTTCTTTAGTAATCAAGTGTATAATATTAGCAGGCATATTAAAAGTGAACTAATTGTTTGTAATGCTTGAAGTTATTTAGGTAAATATATATATTTGTCTTGATCGTCACCAACATAAAGCTTTTCAGTATTCACTGTTGCCTCTTAATCCTGTGGCATTGAATTGACTAGCATTGTCCAAAGTGTAGAACGTTTTTTGGAGAGCTATATACCACAGTAACAAGAAAACTGGAATATTTTAAAGAGCCAGTTTTTTTCCACCACCCTATCTTCAGGCATAATCAAACACACCAAACAAACAAACAGAAAAACAGAAGAGCTTAAAGTACCATATTAAAAAAAATGCCATCTAAGAGAACACGTGGGTCAGCACCAAAGCATATGTGGTACATGCAAATGACTTTAGCGTTGAAAATACAGGCTATGACGGGAGCCTTTGGAGGTGTACTGCCTCAGGCGATATGAATTATCAGAACCTTAAGGTAAATTTTGGTCCCTGAGGTCCTGTAGGTATTGTAGGTGGTTTTTACCAAAGATCATCTCTTTTTCAGGAAAGCTGAACAACATTCAGTTGGAATGTAATGCTTCATGGCATCTGATCATTAATGCTTTCAAGATCAAGAACTTGTTAAATTACTGCACGCATGTTTTAGATGAACATAAGAATGTTGATTCACCAATAACTTGGAGCAGTCCATGATGTTCCTTTTAAATACTTTTTTTTAAAGTACTTTTAAGTATTGCAAAATTTCTGCTAACTCCTACAAACTGACTATGTTTTGGCACTCTGTTCTATTTTTCTCATAAGAACAATTTAAAATATTTTTATCTCAACTTGCTAATTCAGGACTTCATTAAAAATAACACGTACTGATGTGTTTGCATTTAGAGTTGATGTACCATAGCCTCAGAATGGCTGTGACACATCGTAGCTACTATTCAGACCGGTAATCTCATTGCTGTGATTAGATCATAACAGGTTTTGAGAACAAGCTACATCTTTAACTCAGAAAATTCTTGTACTTGTGTTGAATGGAGTTTCATACTTACATCAGAAAACTTACATTGCTTACTGACCTCTTTTTAATGCATGGCACTTTCATCACTTGGAACTTAACCAGTTATCATCTGTGGGATTATGGCATTTTTTTAAATGATTCCTATGCCATCTTGAAAATTGAGTTTGATCTATCTAGTTAGAAAGTAGATGGTAAAGACAAAGCAGAAAGATTGTTCTTTTTTTCCCCTCTAAAGTCTAGGATAATGTCATTCTTGGAGAGTTTGATTACCCAGTAAGTAACTCCTTAAAAAAAAAGGTATGTTTCCTAATCTTCTACTGGTCTGGTTGTATTACTGGTTCGTCTGGTTGTATTACTGGTTTCTGGCATTCATTTTAATCAAACTGTGTTACTGGCTGCGGAATGGGGGCTCCCAAAACACCATTTGTGCACCAGTGTTATGCAGGTCAGGGTGAGCAAGTGCTCACTGAGAAGCTTCAGGGATCCTTTTTCCAAAATGGTGTCCTTAGAGAAACAGATTTAAGTCTGTGTTCTACAGTACTAAATTATGGAAAGCTTTCAAAACAAACTCAGAAAAGCACTGGTTTGTAGGGTCAGCATCAGGAAGCCAGCTGTTGTAGGAATGTACTCTTACATATTAATGTAAGTTGGAGTTCCGTCTGCTGGGAAATATGGTGGGAAATGAGTTGTCTTTCATCACTCAACTGAACTGGCAGTACTTCGGGGACTAGCAACTTTCTGTTGGTGTGTTGGAGAGATTACACCAAAAAGGAAGGGTTCCTGCATTCTTTGGAGAAAGGAGGGTAAGAAGCAATATTATGGAAGAGCAGGAGTAGTGCCACTCCTTAAAGGAGGCCAGGAATTAAGGGTGACCTAAAAATGACCTCACCAACAGGAGCAGATTCACCACAGCAGAAGCATGAAAGCAAAGCAGAGCAGTGATGGAAATGAGTGAGTGAAAATGAGTCAGTGGCCTGGTGATCATCAAACAAGACAAGGTAGCAGGCCAGGTCCGTCCACTGATTCTACAAGACACTTCAGGAGTCTAGGGGCAGGCACACCTGAGCTAGATGAGCTAGGGACTGACTGCCCAGGGCTGGGCTGAAATGAGGTGCGCTGAATGATGCTGGTCAGGACCAGTGAGCTCAGAGTCCTGATAGTGAGCACCTCTGATAAAAACAGTTTTCATTACATCTTATAAGTCCTGTGCCACTACAGTTAAGGAGTACATTGAGTGGCGTATTATTTGGAAAACTTATCTACAAAACAACACAGGATTTCCTAAACTAATTAAGCTTCAATTATTCCCAACAAGCATATTAGTCTTTATTATAGTACTTTCCCAGTTTACAGTACAATCCCAGTCAGTCCTTTCAGTGTAGTTACAGCTGCTTTCTACTTCATGTAATTTTGTGCATAATATTGTGCATAATTTTTCTCTTTTTAAACTGCAAAGCTCTATAGAGTTATTGCTGAGAATGTTTACATGCTCAATTCACAGGAAAAAAAGAACAGGAGAGTAGGAAACTGCCTGCATTATCAGTACCACGGAGGACAGATCGCCCAGTTATGGGAATTCAGAGTAAAAAGAATTTTATAAAAACAAATGCAGTTGCTGCTATCACAGGATTGCCTAAAAAGCCTCAACATATTTATGTTGATAGAAGACAGGGAGACAAATACTTGCTTGAAACTTCAGGACTTGTTCCAAAATATATTAAGAAAAAGGTAAGTTTTATTAAATTATAGTGAAAGTACTAGTAGTGATGCCTGTTTTAGATTCTCTGTTTCTTTCTCCTATTGAATGTTTAAGATTTTATTTATTTATTTATTTTTTTGAGATGTTTTAATATCACTGCTGCTTATGGTAAGCCTATGAAATTGATGAAGGAGAAATCACTGGCAGTAGAGTACTGCCTTTCCTTTGCTCTGAATTCACTTGCTTATGCTCTCAGCAAAAATGTGGCAGAATGTTGCTGCTAAACCAGTAACAAATGTGTTGTGTTTTGCATTGGGATCTCTTGGAGTATCCAATAAGGACACACAGAGCCAGTTTCTTCAGCTTCTGCTCATGTAACAGTCTTTCCAAGGTGCTAATGGAGAGATGGGATCCATTGAGCAAAGTGGGTGAGGACATTTTAGTCAACAGACTTGCTAACCTTCTAAAAGGTATTTTAACTGAAGTGTGGTAATAAAAGTTTACAGTTTAATGAAGGAACACAGATCAGTATGGCAAGTACATAGGTAAGGATAGTGAATTGTGAAGGACAACAGCAGTTCATTCATAGCCAAGTTATGCAAAAAGATACATGATGTGTGACACAGCTTGTCACAGGGAAGATGCAGAAAAATGAAGCAGCAGTCCTTGCAGAACCTCTGCATGGCTGACATAATCAAGAGCACTACTCAACACTGAAAAATTTGTGAATCATCTAGCATTTGTTTGAAAGAATGTATATTCTGTATGTTCCCCAAGTGTGTCTGTGATATCCAGAAAAGATTTTTCCTCTCAGAAACACAGATCTGCTGTAGCCATTATGAGATAGTCTGTCATTCCTCTCCAGTTCACATTGTGCCATATCTTTGGCATGCAATGTTTTAGCAGAAATCAGAATACAGGAAGACCTTTCAAAGACAGTATCCAAGGAATGTGGACAGTAGAACTTTATGCTGTGTGAGAAAATTTTAAGTAGCCTGCTGTCATGAACAAATTTCAGACTTTTCACTCAAACATCACTTTGTATAAATGTTTTGGTTTCTGAATTCTCTTCTGAGGTTGCGACAAAAATTTGAGGGAAATTGTTTATATATTTTCATAAGACTACGAAGAGGATCACATTTCATTCTTCCAAGAGCGTGGTAATTTAAGATTCTATTCTTCAGTGGCACA